AGGAAAATTGAAATCATTCTTAAATGACAGCTTTAATTGTTTTTTTATGATTGCCTCGTGATGATAAAATTTTAGTAATCAGGTAAAAATTCCGGGTACCACATTTTTTAAAATCCTAACCTCGATAAAGATTGTCAATGCTATTCAATATGAAATGATTGATTTAGCTTTCACATTATTTCGTAATCATCCTTGTGATGTATATTTGATTTTAATGAAACTGACTAACTATATCGATTAATTTATTGATAATATCTCTGATTAGATATTGGAAATGCTGATTCAAGTCCGTAGAAACACATCTTTTCTCTAAAGTCTGTTGATGCATTCTTTGGACAAATGTCAGCCATCAAGGTTCAAAAAATGTTGTAGATTGCCTCCGAAAATCTAATATCAAAGTGTACTTTAATGCGGAATCCTTGAGTTTAATGACCATTTTTCAACTAAGAACTAACGGTCAGACAACCTGATTTTTTATTATCTACCATTATATCAAATTCATTAAATATTATTTATTATCCTATTCATTTTTTATGACCATTAAAAATCTCAATATACGTTATGGTTACATGAACAGTTATGTACCAAGAATATAGACAAGGAATTTTAGACATGTGATTCAACCTTACACATGGTTTAGCCAATGTAAAAGTCATCATGATGATGGCAAATTGTGAGGAAATAATGGAGTTTTCTTAGGTCGTAAAGACACTCTTTCTATCTATCAAAATTGTGAGTTGTTGTAATAGCCTGAAGGCTATTTATGTATCTAACTGAAAATGTACATTATATCCATTTTCCATTACAAAACGTTTCCCGAAATTAATGGGCTTAGAAAATATTTACACGGGACTCATCAACTTGGAAATGAAATAATTTCATGGCAAATATAATTCAACATGGTATGAATAAATCCATTTAACACTTAAATTTAACTGACATTACCTGAAATATTATACAATAATGCACCTTTATGTTCTAATGAACCTTTCTTATCATAATATGTGTGCTAAAAATATGCCGACTTATGGGAATCTACTACTTTCGAAAACTTTTGGTACAACTTTAAAAAAACAATATTCTCTATTCTCTCAATAGATAGGATTTTACAATAACGCTGACTGAATATATCAAGATTTACAAATGTAATTAAGCTGTAACAGCGTGGATTATTCTAAAACTTCAATGAAACTCGTTTCCTCAATTTTCAGAATCACTAACAAAATTTCTTTCTTTCATCATACTAAACAACCCAATTAAAAAAACACTTATCTTTCCTTACTATTCAGTCTCAAACAAATATATATGATGTTAAAAATATTAATGAATAGATCCCTAGCTGACTCCTTGAGTGCTCTGATGAAACAACTATCCGTTGTTCGCTTTTCTTCGATAGTTTTTCTAGCTAAAGTCAGCCCATTGTATAAATTATACTATTATTAATTTTCATAAATATCATGTTCTAAGAATTTATTTCATTAATTTAATAGTCGAATTCATGAGTTAATTGAAGTTAGACCACCATGAAAAACCTGAAAGCAGTGAACGGCTTTTTCGTTCTAGTATGAGAATCCTCAGTGGTATACATCCACAATCCTGCTCGCGAGATCCAAACCTAGAACTAATCAGTTTTGCACGCGAAAGCCTAATCCTGAGGGCGGGATGTTCACTACTGAAGAGTCCCACAATAAGACGAAACGGCCGTTTAGTGCTTTCATGTTTTCCATGGTGGTCTAACATCAATCGGTTCATGATCTCAATCAAAAACTTAATAATCTCCATAATGATAATAATTTATTTTATTTTACTAAGTAATATGATAAATATCAAAAAGTATGTTTTGTTATTAAAATAACAGTCGAATACTGCCTGATATAAACAATTATCGATTGTGAACATGTATGTATCCAAAATAGAAACTATACATCTGGTATTTAGTGATAGACTTATAATTTACTAATTAATATAATAACAAATATAACTTGATTATAGACTTTTTTCTACTCAATAACCATAAGTTATTTCAATTAAACAAACAAATCATACCAATAATCATTTTAAGTAATTCATTAAATCTCAATGCTTTATTCATTATTTACTTACTTACGCCTGTTACTTCTCGTGGAAGAGCATAGGCCGCTCACCAGCATTCTCCATCCAACCA